AAGTGGGTTTTCAAATACAGTTTTGATAATAAATACAATCTTTAGAGATAAATTTTATAAAACTAGACGGATAAGAAAAGGGAATATAATTCTGGCATCCGCAAATGAAAAGGGTGAAGCCGGAAATGCTTCAATTGTAATGATTATGGACATATAGCGTGACGGATTGTCCTCAACCTAAAAAAGAAATTATTTGCATGAAATGTAATGAAATGGGTCATACTTTTAAAAAGTGTACGTCTAAGAATCCAGACTTGACAAATGTTAAAAATAATTTATCCGTGGACCAGAAATTCAGGTGTTTCGCCAGCTGTATATTTAAAGTATGCTCGCATCAATAATGGAGAAGGAAATTACTGCAAATCATAGATACGGGTTCTAGTTCGTGTTTATTGAAACAGTCTGCGGCTAAGAGACTGAATCTTATTGTAAAACCTGATGTGGAGGAATTGTTTGGCTTTGGGAACCAGAATAAACCAGCCGCTAGAACATTGGGTAAAGTAACTGTTAACTTAGAGATTGATAATGTGCAAGGAAAGGACATTACAGTTCTAATTGTAGGAGATGAAACGCAACCATGCGACTTATTAGTTGGTCGAACATGGATTGATTTACCCACATATTGCATACGCCAAGATAGGTAATACCTTTTTTGCACATACGCTATGCTAATGACTTGCCCATTTTCACAGTTGCAAAATGATATCAACACTCCGCGAATTAAACTGAAAGGCTTATCCCAAGAAACTCAAATCGAAAGTAATACGGTTAATTTCGTGAAAGTTAAAACTGATGAAATAACTAATACGGTTATGTTTTAATACGTGGATCGTAAGATGAGTTGGGGCTCATTATTGGAAGTAATACAAGGATAAACAGTGATACCAGTCACTAACTACAGCGATCGAAAACTAATTTTTGAAAGAGATCAATGTATCGGTAGAGCGGAAAGTAGCAGAATTAGTTGAACCAAGTTCAGATTAGAAAACTGAAAATTCAAGTCAAAGGAAATCTGATAATAAATGAAATTAAGAAGTTTAGGAGACCGATTACTTTAGAAGAAATTAAAGTTAATAACAATAATACGCCAGAAAGACAAACAGGAAGTTTTACATTTGATAAATGAGTATCGAGATTGTTTTGCATTAAATATGGAGGAATTAGGGTGTACAAACTTTAACAAAAATGGATATTGAAGAAATTGAAGGAAGTAAGCCTATTTGCAGTGAAGTCATATAAAACCAATGCCGAAAGAGCGTGCTTCTATAAAGAAGATAATAAATAAAAGGAAGAAATATGGAATTGTTACTGAAACAAGATCTCCGTATGCTAGTCCAGTTTTACTCGTAAGGAAAAAAACAGGTGAATTACGAATTAGTGATAGATTATAGAAAGTTGAATTCGCAAACTGTTAAAAGATAAATTTTCACTCCCTAGGATAGATGATCTTCTTGAATGTCTTAAGAGTGTCTTCTTGAGTGTAAAGTTTTCACCACATTGGACTTAGCTCATGGATATTTACAGATTCCTTTAACTGAAGAAGCGAAACTGAAAACAGCTTTCATCACTGCAGATGATACTGTTCAATTTGAACGTATGATTTTTGGGTTAGCTAACGCTCCTGCAGAATTTCATACTTATGAGTCAAGTTTTAGGTCCATTGCTTAATAAAGAAGTATACTATTTGGACGACATATTAATTTCGTCTAAATCTTGGGAAGAAATAATGGAAAAACTTAAGAAAAGTGTTTGCTAGATTGCGAGAAGCAAAGTTGACATTGAAACTGACAAAATGCGAATTTTGAAAAGATGAATTTCAATATTCGGGATTTGTAATAAAATCGAGTGGTATGCAGCCTGGACCAAGAAAAGTACTAGCCATATTAAACTTTCCTAAATCAACCAATGAACATGAAGTTAAATAATTTTTAGGTCTTACAAGTTTCTTTAGAAGGTTTGTACCAAAATACGCAGAGAAAGCTGAGCCGCTAACGAGACTGACGAGGAAGGATGAAACATTTTGTTGGAACGAAGATCAGCAAGAAGCATTCAGTACTTTAAAGGATCATTTAACTAATGAAGCAATACTAGCATTATATAATCCCGAAGCAGAGACTGAAGTGCACACAGACGCGAGCAACAAAGGACTGGCAGGAATGCTGTTGCAAAAAGGTGAAGATAGAAAGTGGCATTTAGTTTATTGTGTAAGTAAAGGGACAACAGAAACGGAAAAGAATTATCATTCAAGCAAATTAGAATTAATGGCTATAGTTTGGACTTTGACACGACTTCGACAATTTTTAATTGGGATCCGATTTACAGTAATTACAGACTGCCAAACTTTAGTTTATTTAAACGCGAAGAAAACTTCAAATCCTCAGATAGCAAGGTGGAGTAATCTGATCCAGGAATACAATCATGAAATAAAGCACAGGCAAGGCAAAAGAATGAGTCACATAGATGCATTGAGCAGATCGCCAGTTGATCAGCCAGAAAAAACTTTAGACTCTATAATTGAAAACAACTTGGAAGTTTGTTTAACGCTAACAATAGATGAACAAATTCTTATGATTCAGCATTCAGATCCAGAATTACGCAAATTAATAGACATTTAAAGAAAAAAAAGATAATGATAGAACGAATGCAGAGAAATATGTAACTGAAAATTACGTCTTGAAGAATAATCGATTGTTTTGTAAAGTGAAGATCAGGAAAAGGAGAAATTGTTATATGCCATACCTAAATCGATGAGAAAAGGTATTGTAGTAAAATTTCACGATCTTTTGGACATTTTTCAGCAGACAGAACTGTTGCCAAAATCAAGGAATCATACTGGTTTAAAGGAATGAACGATTGTTATGCGTCGCATTTCGAATGCCTAGTAAATAAAATGCCTAGTGGTAAGAAACAGGAGTACTGCATCCAATTAGACCTGGTAGAAGACCTTTTGCAATGGATACATATAGATCATTTAGAATCCATTCGCAAAAACGTTCAAGAGGAAATACAGAATTATTTGTAATAATTGATAAATTTTAAAAGATTTACACGCTTTATATCCTTATGAAAAGTACTGCAACCAAGTATGTGTTTAGTTGCATTGAAGAGTTTTCTAGATGATTTTGGGTTACCAGAAAAAATTATCAGCGATAGAGGAACATGTTTCACAGCGAAGGAATTTCGAGAGTACTGTCAAAATAATGGAATCAGTCATACACGCAATTCAATTCAACATCCAAGTGGTAATTGAATGGCGGAAAGAGCAAATCGAACAATTTTAGGCTACGATTAAAACGAGTATGGAAAATCCGAATCAGAGAGACTGGGACAAAAAGGATTAAGGAATGCGAAAGAAATCCAAACAATATGATAAATAAGACTACAAATAAAACTCCTTTCGAAATGCTTCACGGTTATTCACCAAAATTTAACGACGGATTGATGAGGATGATTACAGATGAAGACGCAGATGAATGGGAGAATCCAGTAATCTTACAGAATGAAGCTAGAAAGAGAAAAAAAGATATGCAGATGAAAATGAAATCAAATTATGACAAGAAGAAAAGCAATTCTTTAACATTCGAACGAGGAGAAATAGTAGTTATGAGAAGAGTACCTAAATCAACTGGAGAATCAACCAAAACACAACAAAAGTATCGAGGACCTTTGGTAGTTACAGAAGTTTTACAAAACCAAGTGATACCTATACAGTGACTCAATTAGAAGAGAAAGGTGAAAGGACATTTCTTTTAGTACGACAGCTCATGTGAGCCAATTAAAGTCATGGTAGTGTCAAGCTGAATCAGAAGAAGACGATGATGATGATGATGGTGATGATATTAGTGTTACTGAGGGATAACGATAACAACACACCATATATTACTAAAACTAGGACACGGAAAAAGAATAGAAAACGATGGTGAATCTATAATGACAGCTAAAGACTTTCGAACTATAACAATTAATATTACAGATTTAATTTTTTAAATATAAGTTCTTAATGTTCCGAGGTTGTAACTAAGTCAGATGCCCGAATGTAAACGCAACGCAACGTATTAATTTTATTTAAAATGTATTTTCCCGATTGGCAACAACAGTTTTTTTCAGAACGATAATTTTTTGAACTGTAAGTTTTTGAGCAGTAATGTTGACGGTAATGTTTCTGAATAAAGCAAGTATTTAACAATTAATGTTTTGATGGAATGTGTTTTTAATAAAGGAACTAATTAATCGCTAACATTTCTTTTAACAAAGGCTTTAGAGGTAAGAGATCTCAGAAAGAATCTTGTTTTCAACAGCCATCCTTCCCTTCCAGAAATTATCTATAGGTCCTGATAAGGCAAGATTACATGCTTTTTTTTTCTTTCAAATAACAGATTAGATAGCAGTTTACAATTTTTTAAAATAGTTTGCAAATACAGCTAGTGAGTGCAATGGACAGGCAGTTTAAGGGATTCTTCAGATCTTTTCCTGGCTTAGCTATGGAAATTATAACAGCTTTATTCTGTGACCTGGAAAATGTATGCTCCTTTTATAACCAATCGTAAACAGTGAGGATGGCAGTCAATGACTTACGCGACAGATGCTCAGCATTTCAAAATTCACATCATCTAAACCCGGGTTACACCTATGTGTCTGTATCAAGGCTCTACTTAGCTCAAGCATTTTAAATTCTTCATTATATGACTCAGAGTTGGTAAAGTTCTATGCAATTGAAGCTTACTCAAAGTGTAGCTTGGTATAAAGAAATGCCAGCAGATAGTTGCTGCCATTAAAAACAGCAGCAAAAGTCTATTTGCAACTGTAATTTCTTCTGTTGTGTTGATCACTCGCCCATCTTTTTTTTAGAAAGAAAAGTGAGTGGTCTTCATACATTCTGCATGCTTTCCTAACTCTTTCCCACACTTGTTTACTTGATGTAGAGGATGTTATTCCAGACGCTTATGACATCCACAAATCCCTCTGGCTTTGGCACCTCATTTTTCTTCCATATGCTTTACCTTTTTTGAAGGCAATAAGGTTTGACAAAGTGGGGTTGCTATGAAAAATTTCTCAAAAATAACATTAATAATAGCTTTCCCTACATCATCAATATGTACATCTTTTTCCATTTCCTCTGTGAGCTTTACAAAAGAAGTTGAAAAAAAGTTCACAGTCTGCCCTATCAATTAGAAAAAGAGAGTATCTTGACATGGGATTTACTCCTATTTGTGTGAGTTACAAAAAAGGGAAAATGACTGTTATTATAAGGATCATTCCTAAAATTCATAAAATGTACAAAAGAGAAAAGAGATGAACAGAACCAAGATAATGAGCATGAAATGTCCTTGAAGGGTTGTGAAAGTGTGTGTCTTGTCCATTATTGAGGAGACAAAGGCAATGATCTTTAATCATGTACTCAATTTTTCTTTCTCGAAGATTTGTGTCCTCACCAGCCCAGACCAGACTATGACCATTAAGGTCCCTTATTATGAGAAAAGGTTCAGGCAGCTTTCTCTTTGATCTCATCTAAATCTCTTTGATCATTATGATTATTTGGAGGCAAATAAAGAAAACAGACTGAAACCAAGATGCATAAGTTAGTTTGTTTCTATAGTAACAGTTGGAAGGGACGTCATCAATTGAAGTGTCTTTGACAGATAGTTAAGTGAGGTGAGGAGGCCTACATCTCCACTGGCATACTCATCTATCAGATTATCTTTCCTGGTGAAAGAATACCTCTGGAATTTTGCTTGTTGCTCAGGTTAGTTACTTATACTGCTAAACGCACAGGATACGATCAGCATTGATCATATCTTTAATATTAATGAAATTTTGGAGGAAGAGGTTACAATGAGGGGATCATTATCTTTGGTGTTTTCTTTCTGTGCTTTTTTTCATTTTCCGTGGAAGCAGATGTTTCGAGATATAAGTGCCTATTTCACATCCATCTCAGAATCTTTGAGATCTGAACTGATGCCCCCAAACAGGATCTGGAGTCGATAGGGAAAATGATCGACTCCAGCTCTGATTCCTGGAATTTTGAAAACTCTGACTCCCTCATATATATGTAAACATATACACATGTGTTACAGCTTATTTTTTTAAAAATATAAAAGAAGTAATAGATGCTACAGAAAAAAAATTATGGCATAGCAGATCATTTATATTAATTAGCATTTATTATGAAATGGTAAACTGGCATTAGTAATTTCTGAGACATAGTGGAGCTTCAGCAAGATTTCCTTTGATAAAGAACCATACATCTGATTTGAAAAACTTCAGAGCTGAGAATAGTCTTGCCACACTAACTTCAGAAGAAGGAACAGCTGTTACTGTTAGGGCTAATTCTTTTAATTTTTCAGGATAGATGTGTAAAAATAAGTTCTAAAAGAAGTGCCTTGAAAAGGGTGATCGTATTTCTCTTGATTTGAATACTCCAGTTTTTCTGAGAATCATTTCTTCTTACATTCTTAGTGAAAATTCATAAATGGCTTTCTTTGCCTTTTTAATTTGTTTGTTATCCAACAAAACACGGTGTTTTGGATCTACATATATTGAAGCCAGCAAGATCTCATTATCTAGCAAACTATTTTCTCTTTTCTTCAATGAAGAAATGATTCCTTCTGCAATAAACCCTCCATTTCAGAAAGAACAAGCATTGCATTCTTCCATTTTCACCTTCTGTTAATTCTTCAGATAGTAGCTTTTTTGTAGCTATATATCGTGTAGAAAAAACAGTTACCAGTTTTGCAAGACCATTGAATAGTCTTTCTGTTTGTGAAACATTAGGATTAGCTACATCTTCTGAAAAAGTTCCTAATTCTAACAACCTCTTTATAATCAAATATATACTTCGCCATCGCATTGCTTAATCAATAATTGCTCCTTTTCCTGTTCGCCTCCTTAGAATGGCATCACTTTTGGGAGTTCTTGCTGCATGCCTAAATTTAACACTGAGATTCATAGCATGGGTACCATTGAGATGTGTAGCATTTGATGCATTTTGGAGCCATGGGCTCCTTTCTCTTGTTGTAAATTATGCTACAGTAATGCCATCTATGAGATGAAGATGAACTAAATGAATAATGGCAAATATCACATCCATACTCCTGCCTTATATTTATTTATTAATATGTCAATCAAATGGAAAATAACTAAATACCACTAATGTATATAATCAATAAATAAAAATAATAACTTAGTTTATTATTAAATTTTCTTTTCTATTCACTTTAATTTCATTTCAAATTGAAGCTGTCCAACAAAAACTTGCGTTGGAGTCAACGAGTTTTTAGCGACTCCAGCTTCGACTCCTTTTACACAAAATCTTCCTTGACCCCAAAACAGTCAGCACTCAGATTTCTGAGAGTTTTCATAATTTTATTTCTTTGATATTTTCAGAATGATAAGACTTCGGTATTATTACTATTAATGGAATTGATTTTTGAGCTGTCTTTCTTGTAAATTTTAAATTGGTTGTTTATTTTGCTGTTTGATATATGCAAGCCTATTGACTTTACAGCTTTTAATTATGTTGGCATAAGATAAATTTTTATGTGGCTATGCATCTGCTACAAGTTTTCTTATTTCTGCATATGACATATCTCTCGTTACTTTAATCGCCTGCACTTCTCTGATTTCCATTTGAGATGCAGTCTAGAGTATGCTGCAAGTGTACCTCTGCAGTTGGTTCACCAGTGCAATTATCCTATCGTGGCGGTCCACAGAGCATCAAGCACATGTCAATTTGCCATGATGGGACAAAATGCTGGCACTGGAAACATTACAAGAGTCTGGTATGCAAGGTCTTAAAGAGCAGTACAATCACCTGGCTTTCATGGCAGGTTATCAAAAGGTCAGAATTACATATTTTGCGTTCATCAACCAACCATATTTATGCATCTTAATCCACCTAACAGCACACACACTCTGATCGAACAGCCCAGAGACAATTTACTGTTCTGATACTAAGAAGAGGTCAATCTCAGAGATTACGTCAGAGCTTTAATTCAATTATTTATGCTCTGAAACAGTCCTGTCAACTTACCTAAGTTTATTTAACAAATTAAGCTGGAGAAGCAATTTCAATTAAATATATCCAGATGACAGCCTTTCGATGCCCTTTGGTTTACCAATGGAATGTACATAATCATATATTAAAAATTATGACACTTTCGAGAGATTGCCTGATAGATTGTTAATTGCGAAAAATTATGTGGATCTCTATTTTCATGAGCATTTACATTTGTTTTAATCTATTTTGAAATAGATTTTATTTATTTATTTATTTATTTTTTTGTTTTTGTTGTTGTTGTTTGTTTGTTTGTCAGAACATTTATTCATTATATGCACATTTTAAAAAGAAATCAAGCTTCAGACTCAGTACCAACACCCACCACCTCAGAAACCAACAAGGGGACACAGATTTTTGCATCAGAACTTACTGGGTCTATATGCAATCTGAAGCTCCACAGTCAACTTTCCTGAAAACAAGAGCTCCCAAAAGCAACTGACACTAAGGACTTGTGTTCATCCCCAGGAACAGCTAAGTGCCTCCCATTTCAGTCAGAAGCAGGAGCTAAAGCAGTGCGTTAGGAACAATACCTTACCCCTCAAATACGAGGAGCCTCCTTTCCCACCTTACAGGTGGAAATGCATGGCTAATGCACGGTGGTTTTCTCTCTGTGAGAAAATGGAAATAAAGGATGTAAAAATATCTCACTTTGAGCCTCAACCTCAGAAAAAGAAAACCCCCAAAGAAGGAGAAATTGCAAAAGGAACAGATACGGACAGTTGAAAAGGAAAGATCACTGACGCTCCAAGATCGTAAGCCCCGTCTCACCAAGAGGGTAATCTTTGGAGGGCTAGGATACCTATGGGTTGCCACACCCATACTCATAAACAGTGAGCCCCTGAGGTCCTTCGCTAACATGAACAGCCAATAATAAGTATGTGTTTTATACGCACTAATAACTGCTGATTCTGTAATCAAAGTTCTGACCACTTTTTAACATTCAATATTAAACATGGACTTCTCTTCACCCTACTAGAGCATACTAAATTTAAATAAGTATAATTTTACTTTAGTGAACTATTTACACCACAAAACAAAAGAGGATTTGAAAGCAATATTTATGGGAGTTCAAATATATGGAGAATTAAAGTTTATGTCAATTGATATTTTTATTTACTCCAAATTACTCAGAAAATAAACAAAATAAAACATACCTGGGGGATTCCCGTCTCTCCACTGACATCGGCTAATGTCTGAAGAAAATTAACCATTGAACCGGCTGATATTACATGACAATTTACTAGATCTGCAAGAAATCTTACCTAATGAAAAGATAAAGTTTAAATACAGCAAATTAATAATTTATAACTATTATTGTTTAGTGTCATATTCATCTCAATAAAATATTACATATTGAATGCATGTGTTACCAAATAATAAAAATCTGATGAAATAAAATTACAGAACAAATAAAGCAATAGCTACACAAGCAAAAGAACAAACTTACAGTTACACGAGCATCTTCAAAATATCTTGATTTCAAAGATTCTCGAAGGCTTTTTACAAGCAGTTCCACAAACTGAAACATTAACAAATAGAATTTCAAAGTATTAAAATACAAAATATGCTAATAATAAAATTAAAAAGTCATCAAGAAAATATACATTAACAGTGAGGATTTTTATTGATGTTAAGTAGAAAAATACTAAGAAAAAAGCAGAAAAGCAGGTTCAGAAACTTTTCCAAGAAAATTAAATAACAAATGAACATTTTAAATGAAAATCATGTCAAGTTCAGAGTTTACAAAGAGTCATACAGAGTTTAAGAAATTAAAGTCCACTTATCATTATTAAATTCAATTACAATTATCATTATTAGTTTGCTATCAGAAAAGATCTGACCTTAGAAAGACTGAAAAGAAGAGATTTTTTAATTTCATTACACAAAATTATGGTGTAATACAAAATATAATTTACTTTAAGAAGAGTCCAAAATTTTATTTAGATTATATATTTTTAACTCTCTCAGTGTTATGGATGTAAAATTCTGCATTCATTACAAACAAAAAATTTTGCTAGCTTTTAATGTATCCAATTTCAAGTTGGATCTATATTGTAAGAAGTCATTTTTCAACTATAATCAATAAAGACAATTTGAAGAAGTTTGAAATTTAAAGGCTAAACCCGTAATGTTCAGAGAGTTAAAGAGTTAATACACATTTATTAACTCTACAGAAAAAGATGTAATATTTAAGTTCGTTTAAGGACACAACTAGCAACTGATATTTTTAAAGTGAATCATATTTTCTTCTGTAAAGTTCTTAATTTAAATTACCTTAGTGAAAATTTTCAATTCTGTTGCATTGTATCAAAATTTTGTCATACGGCAATAACAGAGGAAAGACCACACTTCAGAAGCCTAGAGATTTAATGTTTTATGTATTTTGTATTGCTTGTGTTCTTCTCTTCATCTAGCAATAAATTACTATTACATGCTTCAAATAGCACTGATAGTCTGATTGCATATTATCTTTAACTGTGTTGTAAGATCTAATGCATTCGAAATTTACATTTATTTATTTTCGGATTTTCAGATTTAAACATGGAAATTAACAGATTTCTATAATGGCACTAACTACGTGCTCTCTAACTGTATTAAATTTCTTCTATATGTATTAAATAATTTTTATAGATAGTGAATGAATTGCCGATTGATCTTTTAGTGTAGCCAATTTCACTTTTATGAATGCTTATAACATTTGGTAACAAATCACACTTATTTAAGCCTGAATTGCATCAACATTTTCATTTTCTCTTGCCAAGGCCACTACAGAGGACAAGTACTGAAATTTCTGTGACTTTTTCCATTTATCACTAACAAATAAGCCATGTAAAATGTGCTGTTTTATAATATATAATAATTTTAATAGATGATTTAGTAAAAGGTCAGTTCAGTAAAACGATTTTTAAGTATTAGATTAAAATTATTCTTCACTAATCCATCTTATCTCCCGATGCAGGAATATTACACTATATTTGATACTTTTCCATTATGCACCTGCCCCGCTTTTTGATGCCTGTCAAAGAGAATCTAAGTGCTCACAAGACTTAAACCACTACATTATCTTTGCATGCGTGTGTGTGTGTGTGTGCGCTTAACATATTGCCATCCGTTAATTATGCTTATAACTCTCGAAAATGTTTACAATTAAAAAAAAACCACCAAAATGCATTGCAGTATAAATGCAAAAAGTAAGACAGGTGCATTAAAGTTCTCAGATCAATGCACAATATAAATCATGCAACAGCCAATACAGAAAAGATTTTTAAGATAAAGAAAGTATAGGAAAGTGTCATTTAGGACCAAATTTTTTTCAATTTACTACGATATACGCTGATCCATTTATTCCACAAGTAAATAATAAAACTAAAGGAAATTACAAGTTTTGCAAAAATCTTAAACAGATCTTAGAATTTTTTTTTTAAATAACAAAATTATTTAACTGAATATATGAAATAAATTACTTAGGAAGCTGTAAAAACATGAACATAGCTACTATATGCTAAATACCAACAAAAACTTTAATAAAAGTAGCTTTTTTAACTTTTTAAGACAACCTTCTAATTTTTTAATCAGTTCGCAATAAACTTGTATGATCTGCATGCATTACCTTGAGGTTTATCATACATAAAAAAGTGCTTACCTCACCCCCAAAATTATAATTTCTCACATTCAGAAGGCCAACTAATGTAGTATAAATTGATGTCTTTTCTGGTAACCTTGTCACACTACAAAAACAAACAGTTAAGATTGATTGTAATACAAAGATAATCATTAATTTTGAATGGTAAGAACTACTGTTAATTTTGCATGGTATTTTTAAGTACACCTACAAACACAGTCCAATAATATATACCGGAAAAAAATTATACTTCTGGCATATTCCTAAATCTATTGCTAAAAGAAATTTCCTATGACAATTTGCAGTCTATCCTGCACCGCAATTTTTCATATTGCAAGAAATTCAGCAAAGTTACAGATTTTTATATGATAAGGAAAACATATCTACAGATTAACATATAATCTATATAAATATAACACATATACTGCATATATCATGATCTTCATAGCAAAGGCATAAATCTCCAAAATTCATGTGTAAGAATAGTCCCCATACAGAAAAAACTAGAAAAATATTTGTTCTGCTTTAGTAAGTCAAATACATATTGTTTTTCTTATTTTTATGCATGTACTAATATATGTATGTTACACACAAAAAGCATAATTCTCCCCCTCTTCCATTTCGATAAGACTTTAATTTAGAACTGTAAAAACAGATACCTTTACTTCATTTCAAAATTACATTAAAAAACAAAAACGTGTTTTTTAATCTAATATAAAACTAACTACAAATCTCTAAAGCTTATATCAAAGTGATACTAATTTGGAATTACAAATAATGAAGCACTTTTTAGACATATTTTTAACACAGAATGTAAAGAAATTTTGGTACTTTTCCGTTTCACCGGCGCAAATCTCGCCATTTCCCTTTCTCCGGCGCAAATCTCGCCAAGCAGACCTTATTGGCGACAACACACAGTATACACATAAAAAAAAAATGTTAAGAAATGTTAATTCTAAGAATTTTAAATATTTTTTTTATTTATTATTTTGGAGGCATAAATATTTTAATATCGTTTAGAATTTTTTCAAATGGGTCTTTTGTGTCCTTTCGTCACATAAATTCGGCGAGGTAACTTTCCAGATGATGCCGAGCAGTTCCTCTGTGTTTCTTATTCCGCCATTTTGCACTTCCCCATAGTCTTTCAATTTTTTGCGTGTGCGTTCCAGTTTCCGGATCTACAAAATTGTATTTATAGTTCACTTTGAAATGTTCGAAACTTTCCTCTTCCAGTTTTTCAGTGCAATATGATTTCCATGGATCGGAATATATTGTAGTTCCTTTTTCGATGTTTTCATTTATTGCCTCTAATATAATACTCATGGATCGGTTTGGCACCATCACAAGGAAACATCCGTTTGTTTCACGACAAACTCCACCAAAGATCCACTGTTGTGGTAAAATCCGTCCCGCGTTGTTTTTGCGCTTCGTGAACGCACTTTCATCCACTTCAACGATCATACCAGGTCCTCCTATTTTGCGTTGTCGACGTTTAAGTAAAGAATCCACACAAACCTCTCGCATGTAGTTATTCCAATCCACAACTGTTCCGTGACTGATTTCCAACTGCTTTTCACACCATTTAACTGAATTTAATTCTTCACTCCAACCATAAATGAATCTTAAACACTTCAAGAAACTCAATCTCGATGATTCAAACCATGTGCCTTTCCGTATACTTCTTTTACTGCGGCAAGTTGAAAGGTTGCAACGCCATTGAATTTCGTCACCGAAATATAATTTCCTTTCATGATTATTTTCACAAATAGCAATGTTAGGCAAAACGCCTTTCGCTTGAAAGAATCTGACGGATTCTTCCTCTGTCCTGGGCAAATCCCAAATTTTCATTGGTTTTTCATCCATTTTTGACATATTTGTAAAAGACATTAATTTAAGAATTTAAAGACATTAAATTAAAGATTTACTATGCTTTCATGGTATAACCTCTTGATTCGCAGGTTAATATCACATGATCCCAAACGATCTCATCTCACGTAAAATACGCTACAAAAATCTGATTCTCTCAGGAATTATCTACATTAATTTCAAGTTAAATCTCAGTATGGAATACGAGTTTAAATGCAAGAATTATTTCAATATTATAATTTAAAAAATTCTATGTAACTGTATGCCAATATTGAAAAAAAAAAAGGTAAATCTGATAATAAATCTCAGCAACTTGTTTTGAAAAAGTGCCGTGAAAGGTTATCAGCGAAGATATTCGCTTTGGCATAAGTTCTACCATTTTCGGCGACTTTATCGCTTGTGCCGGCGGAATGGGAAATTGCGCCAGCCAAACGGAAAAGTACCGAAATTTTCTATTTCCTTGATATGCTCAGTTCTTCACTCTTCTCTCTCATATATCTGCGTGGAGAGTAAATTACACAAAGAAAAATCTATAATATCAGTCTCCTAAGCATAAAGCATCTAAACAATTTGTTATAATAAACGGTACTATTCTGTTTTGAGGATTCTAAAAAATTGATGGGAAAATGTATGCGCAAAAGCACCAAATCTAGGAAACGCGCCCATTTAATAGCGCACCAAATCTAGCATACATGCCGATTTCAAATTGCATAAGTTTAGATAGTTCTATATTTCTTAAAATGCCACTGAAATACAAACTGAAATACAATAGTTTAATTTTTAAATCCTTTTTTGATAACGCTGTGGATTTAACAATTTGGGAATTGCCCAGTGACGAAAAGTCTGCAACAGAATTTTTTCAAAGAAAAGGCATCATTCATTATAAAAACTTATGTTTGAACAACCAACGAGATGAAATAATGCTTTAGCGATAACTCGGTAGCGAAATAGCGATGCAGGAATCCACTCAGTTATGTTTAGACTTTTATATAAATTATAATAATGATCTGAAATACGTAGTTTTTACTCTTATGCTTCCATTCAGTTATGTTTATCCTTTTTTATATAAATTATAATAATAATAAAGTATTACATGAAATTAACCTTTTATTTAATTAACTTATTTAAAACAATAATCTTAGATAGTTTTACTATTATACTTCCTGTCTTGAGTTAGGGTTACCGCAATTATTCTTGGCAGCACTGGCATCAAAAATAGTTTGGCAATTTTTTTACGGTCCTCAAAATGGAATAATACCCAATAAACTTTAATGAAATTTACTGTTTTAGTTTTGCTATACTTTTCAAGATGTGAAAGCATTACTGGACATCTTCAAATAAAACTAATTACTTTCTAATTGACTTAAATTTAGTAATTGACATACATATTACATTTTCTTGAAAGCCATTTAAATGACTAAACAGGTATACTATAATAACGTTTATGCTTTTTAACTCTAATAAAATTTTATGTTTAACCAACACTTAGGTACTAATGCAACCACCTTGGTACAATTTGGCGATTTTTTACTTATTTTTCATAAGCAAAATTTGCTTTCTGGGGCAAGGTGGTGCTTTTCCAGTCTTTTCTTGTGTTTTTTAGAAAGATTCCCAAAGTATCAATAATTATCAGAAGTCAAACATGATCAACATATGAAAAGAAAATATACTTCAACAATTTAAAATACAAATTTGAATTATTAAATATAGATTATGTGATACATTAAAAATTAATTCTTCAAATCTTTCTGTAATTATTTTGCACCTTCTTCAAAACACAGGATCTATTTTCACTTGAAAACCTCAGAGAACTCTGAAGACTCGATTTTATGCAACCCTTGGCAACAGCAGCTATCTAGGAAACACATCTGCTCCTTGTTCCCTTTAATAAATATTCAGCAAAATTCCATACTCCTGCCAAAATTTTACTTATTCTTCCATTACTTGCCAGTTTCACAAGATCATATTTTAAAACTAAGTTTAAGGCAAAACATATCACAATTTGTTTATAAAAACTGCTGGAGCTTGGAATGCAACAAAAAAGAATGCATATGAAAATGGTGACATTGTTTGATTAACGACTATTATGAGCATAGTTGCCGGAAGAATGGTTATGCACATGGTTCCAGAGTTTAACACATTCTGAAAATTTGGTATTTTCTACTAAGGTGGTTGCATCAATACATAAGTATTGTTTAACCTTGGAATCAAATTAAAAAAGTGGGAATTATTTCTTCAGATGAATTTTTTATAAGTATATTGAATTAACTTCAATTTCATTTTCATAAACAATATAACAACACTTCACATTGTATTTCCATATTATGTTACATATATGAACTAGCATAATTATATTAAGTGAACATCTATATTCTGTAAAGCATATATTTGAAATAACACTCAAAGAGTTCAGTATTCTAAAGCTATAGAGACAGCATTTTGGATATTTTAAAATTCATCATCTATTAGTTACTATACAAGAAGCAGAAAGACTGGGGATAAAATAACAGAATATTTTTTTTTATATTTTTGCTTTGGATTATTACAATTCATTCATTACATGTTTGGTTCTGAGAAGAAAGATATTGAAATCTTCATCAATCAATATTGATCTGTATTGAAAATTAATACTCGCCAGAAATGAGTGTCTAAAATGCCTCAGGCTTCTGATTTCCAGAAAGAAAAACCTCACTAATCATTCAATGATCAGCCTCGGAGCAAAACAAAAGCCATTTCACTGTTTGACTCTAAAGAATAGTTATTTTTTTATTACTCGCATAAACAGAAAATATTTTTTCACAAACATATACTTCATACAAAGTGTCTGTTCCCAGAGATATAAGCATCCTGGTATCTTCCTTTGATAGCTTCTACAGGCTTTTGCTAAAGATGACTTGCTGACGAAGGTTTGGTAACTTTTTATGATGGCTTTTGCTAAAGGCTTCCATAATTTAATAAATATTTAGAATATTCAAATCCTTAACATCAACTCCTGAAATTTCTTATGACTCCTAATTTTCTGAAGCAAACTCAGTGGTTATGGTCTTCAAACAAGCAATCTAGCGAATACCTATTCATGATTGCCTTTGCTCAACAGTTCATGAAAAAAATGGCATAATACACATTAATGTTTAAAAACTAGAATAATTAAGCAGCATTTGAGTATCCTTTGTGATAATATTCATATGAAGAAATATGAACATGTGCAAAAGACATTTCCTGTAACTGATGGAAATAAAAAGGCCCTCCACTTAAGGAAAGCTGAGTAAATTGTTATAAACTAGTATTCCGGCGATGCAGTATAGAGCCGATCTTTTGTCCATATCAAATTAAATATACTTACTGCATTCATAAAGAACTTTAATCAGAAAATAATACATAATAAAAATTTGTCTTTATTCAAGACTTCGAATATGTGAACTACTCCTGAACAGCCCGTTTCTATTCTCTCCACACTTCTACAAAAATGTTTCCTTAAGGTTGCCATATTTATCGGCAGCAAAGCATGCTTCTTATCACTATTACCACACAGTTTCTCAGATGGCAACTCAAAGTAACAACATCAAATTATCAAATATTTCAGAGGAATCATACTGTCAAGGTCCCTGCCCCTAATAAGAAAATTAGGATATAAAATTAAAAGAGATCAAAATGTGATTCAAGATAGAAAAACGTTATAATGCACATACATAAAAATGAAATAGCAATAAATATGTTACAAAGCAAATTTTTAAATTGTAATATAAGAAGCGGTACATACATAGTAATGCAACCACCTTGACATTCTTTGGTGATTTTTTACTGAAGAAAAGGTAAAGTTATTTATCGAAGAAAGGTAAAAGTTGATGGTTTTCACATCCTTTTTTTTTTTTTAGAAAAATTTTCAAACTATCAATATTTATCAAAGTCGGTAACCATAATCAACATATGAAAACAAAACATACTTTAGTAATTTAAAATACAAATCGGAATCATTAAATTAGGATTACCAGATATATATTTAAAAAAATAAAACACATTCCCTTTTTTTGGGGGGGGCGCTGTTCTTCTTCTGAAGTACTCAGTGATCTGTTTTTGCTTAGAAAACAAAACAGAATTGCAGTGCTTGGCTTCATGCAAAACTTCGGCAACAGTGCTGCTTAGGAAATGCATTTCCTCATGTTTCTGTTCAGAAAATTTTCAGCAATTCTGTATTCCTGCAGAAATGTTACTGAATCTTCCATAGCTAGCATATTCCATAAGCTCATATTTTAATATAATAGGCAAAAAATATCACGATTTGTTTATAAAAATCACTGGAACTTGGAATACACCAAAAAAGAATGCATACAAACGGTGGCACTCCTTGACTGAAGGACATGGTTACCAGAGTTATGAACATATTAACATTAATTATGAACATGGTTACCAGAGTTTGGTACATTCTGAAAATGCTTTTGACTCTCTCAGGAAAAGGTTCAATTCCATTTTCACCTAAGAAATCAAGAGATGTTTGATCAAAGGTGCATTTTGAAGCATTTATTCAAAATACACATTCCCAAAGTTTTGACAGTGCTGGATTTACATATAAGCTGCACAAACTATAGTATAGGCCCCCACTTCAAGATCTCATCAAATCTAAATCCGGTCCTGAGTTTTGAAAATAAGACTTTCAAATGACTGTAGTGTTCCTTGGAATTTTTGGAGGCTATGCCCAAGTCATGGACAAAAGCATAAACACCTTCTAAATCTTATGTTACTTTGTCTATAAAACATTGTAAAGTTGTAGATGCATAAGCCAAATTGCATACAAGTACTTCCAAATAAACTGAATGGCATATGTATGGCTGTTTCATTAATACCACTGGGATTGATAGGTATCTGATGGTATGCTTTAATAAAGTCAATATTACTAACAATTTTAGCACTGTGCAATGCAGCAGTTAAATTGTCTTTCTGTGAATAGGGTATTTATATTTTATTATTTGGGCATTTAGCATGCGTCAATCTCTTACAGGTCCTAATTTTCCTTTTTGAAAACATGCAAATGGGAAGGCATTTTGCTTCTCTAAGGTCTCAAATGCTCCAACTCCATCATAATTTGAAATTCTTGTTTTGCTATTTTTAAGCTATCTGAAGCTAGCCGATGAGGAGTAACCACAGGTGGAGTCTTAGTTACAATGTAATGAAAAATGTGTTTAACAGGTTGCCTAGGATCTGGTAATTTAGTAACAGAAGGAAATTCTTTTAGAATTTTGTGATATTATGTATCACCAAAAACAATTTTTATTGAATAAATGTTTGCATTTTTCACAAAGTCTACAGTTTGAAACTGCATTTTTAAAGCTTTGAAACACTTGTGTCAAAGATCAAGCACCAATTCATAGAAATGAAGGAAATCTGCTCCAAGAATGGGTATACTAACATTTGCTATAAGAAAGGTCCAAGTAAACTGTTACCTTAACTTGAAATCTAAAGAAAGTACCTTTTTGGCTATAAACATGAATAGCTGAAAAATTAGCAGTAAAAATAGCTTTTTAGGGAAAATTGTTTATAGGAAATAAGGACACATCAGAGCTGGCATGGACCCAGAATGAGACATTTGTTCTCTGGTCATAAACGAACAGGCAATGTGAAATTTCAGGCAAAGAATGAGTCATCTCTATTCTTTGCTGGTTTCGTTTCCCTGCCATGAACAAGGTTTGGTACACTTCTCTATATTTTTTCAAAAACACCTATAATATCAAGAAATAGCATCATTCCTCTTTTGGAGCACCTTCTTTCATTATTGTAATCTCCACCAGTTGGCAAGCAATACAATCAATATGGGCAAAATACAATCAATATGCTCAATAATACAATCAAAAAATGGAAATACAATCAATATGCTTGTTTAATTTTTCCATTTCTTTAAACAATTTGTTCTCAAAAGACTGACTGGCTGTGCGAGGAATACCGCAAGTCTCTGGGATTGGATTTACTTCTAAGATTCGGTCAGCAATTTTTGCAGCTTTGTCTATAGTTAAACCAAGAACCACTTTGCAAATGGACTGGATTTTCAAAGGCAAACACAAAAAGAATAATTCTAAGATATAGTTATCAGGAACACATAAGGATTCTGCTCAACATTTCACATTCCTAAGTAAATCAAAAGGTTTTTATGAGCCCAATTCCTCCCCAGATAATAAATGACAGATTTCTTGGTTGGAAGATTCTGCCAATCAGTTTATTAACTCAGTTTTCAGCTTTGTATAATATCAGTAGGGGCTGTTTTCATACGTACTAAGATGTAGTATCTCGAGGAAGAATAGAAACTACATAATTATATTTGGTTATTGATTCTGAGATAGGTTTGGAGGTGGCAAAAGCAAATGTACTTTCTCCCATTATAAACCATCATTTGATCAGTTGTAAAACAGAATTTAGCCGGCATTGCACATCAGACATTGTGCAAGGTTTAAGCCAAAATAAAAATCTAACCAAAAAAAAGCAAAATATGATTGTTAAATAAAAATCAAAACTATGAAATAATCTATAATTAGTACTCATCTTAGATATGGAGGATGAAAGTAAATGCAATCCACAGCTTTTGGTTCAGAAATCTTAAAAAAGATGGCGTGCCATCAAAAACGAAAGTGCTTAGGAACCTTTCAAAAGACCTGATGAAGTCCTGAACTCAGCATTACGTTACAGTGCCAATCTTCGTTGTCCATATCACATTAAATATCCTCATTGCATTCATCAAAACCTTTAATCAGAACAGTATGCACAATAAAAATGTGTCTTTATTTCAAGACTTCAAATATGTGTACTAAATATGTGTACAGCAATTCCACTTCAAATATGTGTACTAAATATGTGTACAGCAATTCCACTCCTTGACAACTAGTCTCTGTTCTATAAAAACTCCTTAGTAGTTATATTTATCATCAGCAAAGCGGGTGCAAAGTGTGCTTCTCCCATCAAAAATTGGCCTAGTCATGTTTGCAAATGCACTAGCATAATGCTAGGGCTGAAAATGTCTTTGTTTTTATATCATTTGACTTGAATTTAACAGCGCTGGTTTAAATAAAAAAAATTTTATTATTTTGTTCCTGTTCTGGAAAAAAAAAATTTTTTTTTTTTTCTACTATATCTATTTCTATAAAAATTCAGTTCATCTCATTACTTCCTTAATGCTTTCAATTAGTTTTTCATGTTTACAAATTTGGTGTAAAAGCAAAATTTTATCATTGCATGAATTATTATTCATAAAATATACATTTTACAACATGTATCTTACCATTCTCCAAGAATTCTCATTATTTTTGTTTTGTAAGTTGGCAGATCTGCTTCTAACACTCCAGCTAACCCTTCTAAATTACTCTCTAAGGATGATGTACTCTGAAAACAACATATGAATTAATATTTCTTATAAAAATTATATGTGCTCATATTTAAAATGCAATGAAAATTATCATTAATTTAATATATAAAATTTAAGAATTCACTTGAAAAATATGAAATTATGCTACTTCAACTACTGGAAATTATGCATCACCTGCAGTATGAAACAAACATGGTCTGGTTTCCAGATGCTCCATTTAAAGCTTATGAGTTCAGATGCTGATTAAATGTCTTAGATAACATATACTAAAATTCTCAGGAATACTGAGTGATTTTTGTTTACTGTGTTCTAAGTGATTCCACAAACCAAAATCACAGGGTTTTTATGTCTACAAATCTGGACGGTCAATCATGCTGAAAATTGCAGCCTAGCATTCAGTTCCTTCCAAAATGTGAGAGTAGGTTATTTGCAAGAAATGCAACAAGTAATGTAGCTACATCCTATATGAATGTCACAAGCTCCAATGTTTGCTCAAGAAAAATTGTATTTCACAGTAAAAAAGCATAATGTTGATCAAACTCAAAAGAAAAACCCTTTTAGGATTCTCAGCTATAATAATCTTGAAAACAGTACATAACAAAATTCTTAAAATAAAAAATTCAAATAATAAAATCCCAATTTTATGCCCTTTACAGCCTAGCATTCAGTTTCTTCCAAAATGTGACAGTAAGTTATATTTGCAAGAAATGCAACAAGTAATGTAGCTACATCCTATATGAATGTCACAAGCTCCAATGTTTGGTCAAGAAAAATTTTATTTCACAGTAAAAAAGCATAATGTTGATCAAACTCAAAAGAAAAGCCCTTTTAGGATTCTCAGCTATAATACAATCTTGAAATCAGTACATAACAAAATTCTTAAAATAAAAAATCCAAATAATAAAATCCCAATTTTATGCCCTTTAATGCTGTGTTACTTTACAATGTAAATTCACTAAAACTGAAAATTAATAAAATGTTTACAAATGATTTTTGAAGCATATTTACAAAGTAAAAACCAGTGGAGAAAATTTTCATATCTTTTCTGTTACAGCTGTTACACTCAAGTACTTTTACCAACTTCTTAATATATAGCAGTCTATTTTCCTTTCCCTTCCAATGTACAGGAGTGGAAAGAAAGTTGCATCATTCCTACCTTTTCACATTGTACATGAGTGGAAAAAAAAAATCACATAGTTTCGACTTTCAAATAATTTTAATGCCTAAACGACATTTGATGTTATTATTGCTTTCAACAAATATACCAAATTTCAAAACGTGAAATATATAAATTCACATATATCTTTGGAAATTTTGAATAAAAAAAAATTTTTGCAGTAGCTAGAAATAATCACTTAAATCATGCAAAAATTATAGGTACTTCAAAGTTTTTAAGTTTTAAAAAAAAAAATAAATTTTAGCGGACTACTTGATATGCGCCCTCAAGTCGCCAAATTTCTCGCCAAATATTTTTGGCGAGAAACTTCACGCTGCCATATTACTATCTAAATTTTTTGTCTACATTTTGAACTTTTAGCCTAAAATGTCTCCAAAAACGCGGTTTTCGCACATGCAAAAACTACGTTTTGAACACACAATTTAGCTAAAAATCCGAAACAAAAACAAAAATTTAGATAGCAAAAACGTAAAGTTTCTAACCAAAAATATTTGACAAGAATCCATGTACACAGCGACATGTTTTAACTTAAAAAAAAAAACATCTACGAATTGCACAATGTAGGCAACGAACGAATCTACAAACTACGCACACCTCGCTTTAATAAATTAACATAACAACAATAAATTTCAAAGAATACCATGTACACAGCATCCTGTTTAAACTTTAAAAAAATTCTACGAATTGCACAATTTAGGCAAGGAAGGAATCTACGATCTACGCACTCCTCGCTTTAATAAATAACATAACAACAATAAATTTCAAATAATACCATGTACACAGCGTTCTGTTTCAACTTTAAAAAACATCTACGAATTGTACAGTCTAGACACTAAACAACAAATAAACTAAAATAAATTTCAAACAATTTAAAAAAAAAAACAACAATAACGACAGAAATTCATACTAAAGAACCAATGAACATAACATTCTACAAAATAAGAACAAGGATAAAATAAAATGCACTTACCATGAATTAATGCGTTTTCGAATAGCAGAAATATAAATTAATTTTAACATACCGCCACGTAATCACTATCGTATTTACATGACAGCCAGACACACTATCCAGAAAATTTATACTATGGTTCACAAATAAATAAAATCACAAATCCCTACTTCTATCATGCACTGCCATTAAAAATAATCTCCCAGACCCTCTTTCCACACTTCCAAATACCCACCCACTACCCCTCAACAGGATAGCCACAATCATATTTCCTTTTGCCGAACTTCAATTCAACAACTACCATTTTATCTTTCCCTCCCATCTTCTCAGACACAGAGGCGAACCAACGAGCTCCAGCGAAAGATTTTCAACAACGTCAACAGGGTTGCCATAGAACACGCAATCGCGCCAAAAACCAGCGCAGAACACATATCGCCACATTTGGTGAAATTAGGGCGTATATTAGAGTTGTAAAAAATCCAAAAAAATGGCCGAATTTTTTGAAGATTAATTCGAAATGGAAGAAAAATCAAAAGTTAACAAAAAAAGAGAGAATATAACAGTACAAGTCCGAAATTGGATTCAGCGATTCCGATATTAGACATCATTAAATGTAAATGGTGCAGAAATTTACAATAAAAATGAATCGTAATTCATCAAATAAAGAACAATTATGATTTAAAGAGTATCAAAATTTACAAAAAAAAAGCTTAATATTTATTTGTTTACTTTATTAATCATTTCTTTCAATGTAAGTTGTTTAAGTTGCTTCCACAAAAAATTCAAAAAGTTCCTTTTCCTTTTTTCTTATGTCATACACAGTTGACTTTCCAATGCCATACTTCTTGCATAATTTTGAGACGGATATGCCTTTATCCATTTTTTGCAGCAATTCCACTTTTTGTTTAATGGACACTGAAACATGGTTTTGCTTTGTAGAGCCTTTGGTAGCTCCAGAATTGGAAACTCTTTTTGACATAATCGAAAGTTAAAGCTTAGTTTTTATAAAATTTCCGTAATAATAACAGTCTGCAAAAAATAATAAGCTGGATCAAACTAGAAGATTAGGGAGCAGTGCAGTTCACTGCATTAAATGAAATGCCTTAGAATCTGTAAAGACAGTTTTAGCTTGGCTTAATAGCATCTAATTCAGAAGTCAAACAACAAAAATCAGCGTTAATTTACAAAATTTTCACAGGACTAGTTTCGATGGTTTTACCGAACCATCATCTTCAGCTGCAAAACCGCAAATGAACAAGATAGGAAATAATGTTTAGATAAGATAAGAAAAAGCAAGTGGCGCCATCTGTTGGCGAAACCAGAACTAAAACATAATTTCTCTAAAAGCCGAAGGCAAATTTGGATTGGAATTAGGATCGTTAACTAGAACAGAAAGATTTTTATGAATGTGAAATGCCTCTAGAAAATCCAGTTCTCCAATGGAAGATGTTTTTTGAATAATTTTGGAACAGAAAAATTGAAAGTGTGATTTTCGGATCAACAATGTTGAGCAACAGAAGACTTCTGTGTTTCCTTTTTTCTAACATATGCCTCATGTTCTTTGACGCGAAATTTTAAGGCTCTCTTAGTTTGGCCAATGTAAATTAAACCGCACTGGCAAGGAATCCTATAAATACCCCAGGAATTCATATCCGGAATGGGGTCCTTGAGTATATAAGTTGGAATTTTATTGATGGGAGAGTAAACAACCCGAAAGTTAAATTTCTGCCAAAATATGTGCAACTTTATAGCTAATTGATGGAAAGAAGGGAATGACAACAGAATTTTTATAATCTCCTAAAATAAGAGTGTGGCTTTTAGTGTGTTGAGATGAGAATTTTTTAACTGCTTGATTAATAATGTTGGGTGAAAAGCCCCTGTCAATAGCTATTGCTTTTAAATAATTTAGTTCTTCATCAAGGGCTAGTTTGGAGGAGCAAACTTGAAGAGCACGGAAAACATAGGAATAAAATGAAGCTAACTTTTGTTTAGTCGGATGACATGATTTAAAGTGTGGTGGAAGGCCAAACCGATGAAGGTTTACGGTAAACTAAACTGTACTACTGAAGTTGGATGTGTTACGTGTGACCAGAATGTCGAGAAACGGAAGAGAATTGCAAGTCTCAAGTTCAAAAGTGAACTGAATAGCAGGATCAATAGAATTCATTGTTGAAAGAACTTTATTTAAATCATCTTTATTACCTTCAAACAGGGTAAAAGTATCGTCTACGTAGCGGAACCATGCCGGGAAGTTTAAAGTTTCAAACAATTTTATTCATAATAATGCATGTAGATATCAGCCAGGATGGGACTGAGGGGGCTTCCCATGGCTAATCCCTCAGTTTGCTTGTAATATTTATTTTGGAAAACAAAATGTGTTTGTTTCAAACAGAGTTGAGTGAGAGAAATTAGCTCATCAATTTCGATGCAAGAGAAATGAAATTCGCGAAGTCTGGTTTCTAGACATCTTAATGCACCTTCCACTGGGACATTGGTGAATAATGATTTTACATCAAAAGAAACCATGAGTAAATTACGAGGAGAAATGTTTTTAACCTTTTTTACAAACTCTATTGAATTTTTATGGTGTAAATGTTATTGTCTAATAGAGTGGAAAATCTAGAAACTAAATATTTAGCTAATGGATACGAGGCAGTACCTAAATTTGATACAATAGGGCAGAAAGGAATACCACTTTTATGAATTTTGGGAAGAGGCATATAATCTGGCACAATTATTTCGCAACAGATGGGATAAGCGAATGTTTTAAGTTGCTTGAAATGATTTGCGAAGATTTGATCGCAGTTTTTATTTTGGATAAGTCCGAAGGTGAAGGATCTTTAGGGATCGGATTATATGGTCCTTCGTTTAAGAGTTTAGTGACACCATCG